ATATGATTCTTGTTGTTGTTGTTGTTGTTAAGTGCCATCGAGTCGGGTCCGACTCATAGCGACCCTGTACAGGGTTTCCGAGGGTGTAAATCTTTACGGGAGTAGAAAGCCTCATCTTTCTCCCGCGGAGCGGCTGGTAGTTTCGAACCGCTGACCTTAAGGTTCGCAGCCCGATTCGATTCGTAACCACTACGCTACCAGAGCTCCTTGTTGGCAATATTTTCCTGTCAATTTTAAATATGGCATTCCATTGTATTCTTGCCTGCACGGTTTTTGCTGAGAAATCGGAGTGTAGTCTTATTACTTTTCCTTTGTAGGTACCTTTTCATTTTTCCTGAACTGCTCTCAGGATTCTTTTCTTGTTTTTGGTTTTGAGAAGTTTGATTATAATATGTCTTGGTGTTTTCTTTCGGGGGTCTATATCCTGTTTAGATTCATTCAACTTCTTGAATATTTATCTTCTCGTCTTTCCTGATACTAGGAAAATTTACTTCCAACAACTCTTGGACAATATTCTCTATGGGCTTTTTTGTTTCTTTTTGTTCTGGAATTTCTATCACACGTATGTCATTCCTCTTGATATTATTGCTATCGTTAAGTGCTATTGAGCTAGGTTTTGACTCATAGCAATCCTGTATAGGGTTTCTGAGGAGCATCTGGTGGGTTTGAACTGCCGACCTTCCAGTTAGCAATTCAGTGCTTATTCTACAGCTTCACATTAGAACTCCTTCCTCTTGATTATTATTGTTGTTATTAAGTGCCATCAAGTCGGTTCCAACCCATAGTGACCCTGTATAGGGTTTCTGAGGAGCAGCTGCTTACCTTGTGGTTTGAATTGCTTACCTTGTGGTGATTCAACTGGTCCATGTGACAGAGTGTTTATCCTACAGTGCCACACCAGGACTCCTTCCTCTTGATAGTGTCATAGACAAAACTTTGGGAAAATCAGGAAACAAATTGACAAAACAATTGGAAAACATGGGAACCATACAAAAGCAGCAATTAGAAAATCAAAATTACTGCACTTGAAGAAAATCTCTCAATATTCATCTGCTAGAGGAACAAACAGAAAAAGTAGAAAAAAATGTCCGAAGAAAGTCTAAGTTTTATTTCTCCCTTTTTCTGATTGTACCGCTAGCAAATAAATACTGAGAGACTTTTCTTCAAGTCCAGTAATTTGGTATTTCATTGATTCAATTATATTCAATTATGGGTTTGTTTGTTTTTTCCTGTTCAGTGTATTATCTATTTCTGAAAATCTTATGACATCTTCTGATCTTCTAATTGCTGTTTATGTATAGTTTCCATTTTTTTTTCAATTATTTTGTCAGTTTGTTTCCTGAATTTTCCCCAAATTGTCTGCTTTTCTTGATTTCATCTATAGCTGTCTCAATCTTTCTCTCAATCCATTGAAGTACCCTAGTTAGCATCCCTTTAAATTCTTTATCAGGTAGTTCTGATGCCATTTCTTCTGTTATATTTTCTGCCTGTATTTTGGCCATCTGTTTGATTGACTTATTTCTTTGTGTAAGCTGAAGTTGTCTGTTTTCTCTGAGACATTGTAGTGTTATTTAGTTAGTGATTGTCTATTGGTGTGTTGTCAGGCACTCACCACCTGTCTCCCGGTGGATGTGGTAGAGAACGAATAGGAACCCTTTTCATTGTGTAGAGTAGTTCAGGACAATTCATGGACCCCAAGAAGCAGGCGCACTGTTCCAGGCACCCAAGTCCAGGCAGAGGAGAGGAGAGGATGCACAGGGGAGGGGAGCAATGGCCACTGAATTGGTAGATGTGGGGAACTGACCATGCCCCCAGCTACCAGGAAGGCAGGGGCATAAGGGAAAATTTTACTTGGTGCCAAACTGAAGCCAAGTCCTATGCTCATAAGCTGCTATGTCAGTTGCCACACACAAAAGCTCAAGATGGCCATGCCATGCCATTCCAGTCTACAGTCCTATGGCTTTTCTTCTCTTTCATTGATCCTGTTCAGCTTCCTCTTCCAGTTGGCACCCAACCATCTCTATGTTCTTAGCGTCCCAGGGCTACCATCTGTATCTGGATCACGCAGTCTCCCAAGTTTTGTTGCAGAGGGTCAGCTTCTGTGCGTCTCTTTACTCCTAGGTGTTTTGCTTAAGCTCAATGTGTTCATTTAGTTTTAACATTTCTACAAGTAAATTTATTGTTTGTTTTTCAATATTTGCAAGTGAAGCAAGAATAAGATATGAAAATACAAAAAAAGAAGACAAACCGTAAGAGAACAATCATTATTATGCTGTTAAAATTTCACAATTGACTCTCCAGGAAAAAACTGACAAGAAAGCAACTCAGATTGATGATTTCCACGGTGCAAATACTCACACTAGAACTGAATTTAAGCTGTCAGTGTGATGCCTCTGACCCACACAGTCAGCTCTAGCAAACCAGAACTAGTAGCTTGAGTATACATTGCTGGGGGAGGCAAAAAGAATTTGCTTATTAAATATGCATAATAACCCAATTTCAAGAGAATTGGATTTAAGTTTTGGCATGACTACTTATTAACCACTTGATCTCAGGCAAGTGCCTATCATGGTTTCTGATACATAGCAATGGCTTTGTAAATAGAAATTTATTTCCCTTGTTGCTGTTGTAGTTGTTTAGCTCCTTGACTCAGTTCCTAGTCATAGCCACCTTGTATAGGGTTTGGAGGAGTGGTTGGTGAGTTCAAACTGTTGAACTTGTGATTAAAATGATCTTGTGATCCACTGCTTATCCTACAGGCCTAAGCAATCCACATCCTTCTTAATAAATTTATCTAAATCTTTTCTTCAATACAACCCATTAGATGCATTTTCCTTAGCATGCTTTAAAAAAGAGTTACATACGTCACACTGATAGCATGTACTCTTCATTTAATGTGATGACAATGGTAGTTTTCCTCAGTTTTATTATGAGGAAACAATCTATCAAATCCCAATAGAAGGGCATCTATAAAATACCAGACGGATGCTCTTCAAAAGATTGATCACCTTCAAAACTGTCAAGCTCATCCAAAACAGGAAAAGTCTAAGAAACTGCTTGAGCCAAAAGGAAGCTAAGGGATATAAACAGGTATCCTTAGTGGGATTCTGGAATAGAAAAATGATACTAGGTTTAAAAAAAAAAAAAAAAAAGAAAGCAATCTGAACAAAGTTATATTGTTGTTGAGTTGATTTAATTCATGGAAACCTCATATATGCAGGTTAGAACCGCTCCATAGGGTTTCAAAGCTGTATGACCTTTGGGAAGCCAATCCCCAGCCTGTGTTTAAAGGCGTCTCTGGATGGGCATGAACTGCCAGCCTTTCCACTAGTAGTCAAGGACTTCATCATTTGTACCACTCAGGGACTCAATGAAAAAAGTACAGACTTTAGTTAGTTATTAATAATTTATCAGTCTTAGTTCATTAATTGTATCACAGTAATATATGATATTAAGGAAGTCTGGTAGTGTGGTGGGATACCAGTGGGACTGCTAACTGCTAGGTCAGCAGTTCAAATCTATCAGCTACTGTACAGGAGATGAGTCTTTCTGCTCACATAGCATACAGATTTACAGTCTCAGAAACCCTATCTAGGGTCGTCGTGAACTGGCGTCAACCCCACGGCATACAACCACCACCACCATTACATAATATTAATAATAGAGGATACTGGATGGGAAGTTTATTTGAACACTACTATCTGATAGCGTAGTGGTTAAGAATCGGGCTGCGAACCGCAAAGTCGGCAGTTCGAAATTATCAGCTGTTCCACTGGAGAAAGATGAGGCTTTCTGCTCCCGTAAAGATTTGTAACCTCGGAAACCCTGTGTAGGGTCACTGTGAGTCGGAACCGACTCCACGGTACTTAACAACAACAAAAACAACGTCTGTGACTAAGGAGCTCTAGTAGCGTAGTGGTTACGAATCAGGCTGCTAACCTCAAGGTCAGTAGTTCTAAACTACCGGCTGTTGCGTAGAAGAAAGATGAGGCTTTCTGCTCCCGTAAAAATTTTCAGCCTCGGAAACCCTGTGTAGGCTCACAATGATTCGGAACAGACTCTACGGTACTTTACAACAACAACAACAACAACATTCATCTGTCAGTTTGTTGTACTGTTTTGGCTTGCGTGTTGTTGGGATTCAATGTGGACAGGTTTCAACTGAGCTTACAGATGAAGACAAACTAGGAAGAAGGAGAGACAGACTACTTCCCAACATTTAGTCACTGAAAACCTTATGAATAGCAGTGAGACACTGTTGATAACACTAAAATATTGAGTACTGAAATATGATGAAAAGCTCAAGAATATTGTCAGATATAATGCCAGAAGAGGATGCCCTCAGGTTGGAAGGAACTCAAAATACGACTGCGGAAGCGGTGCCTCCTCAAAGTAGAGTTACCTGTAATGACGTGAACAGAATAAAGAACAAACCAATCTGATTTAGAAGCCAGGACAGTCTGACTTCATCTCTCAAACTTCCGACGTGTTATCAGGAGGGACCTTTCCCTAGAGAAGGATATAATGCTTGGTAAAGTGGAGGATTGGAGACAGAGAGCAAGTCCCTCAGTGCAATGGATCGGCACAGTGACAGCAGCAATGGGTTTAGGCGTAGCAATATTTGTGAGTTTGGCTCAAGACCAGGCAGTGTTTCATTCTGTTGTGCATAATGTCACTATGAGTCGGTGCCGACCCAATGGCACCTAACAATAACAACAACTATCTGTGTAATTTTTCTGTAAATCAAAAACTGTTTTAAAACACAAAGTTTAATTAAAACAAAAAACTAATACAAACTTACCCATTTGATAAGTACTTGAAAACAATTCTTAGTCACCACTGAATTTTCTTTTCTGTTGGGTAGAAATTTTCAGTTTCTCAGCTTTTACATGATTCAATTTTAAGTTCGGCCTCCAGCCTGGGAATGTCCCATGGTTTCCTGAATAAACATTAATTACTCTTTCGTGCTTTATTGCCTTTGATTTTATGTTTCCCTGAAGAGTGTCCTTCTTCCAGACCCCTGCACTATTTAACTTCTCCTCTTCATTCTAAAGACACTAAAATGTTACCTATGTCATGTGACAAACTAGATGTAAGGACACTGCTTTCCTTATTCTCTAGTTTTTCTCTTTCTCTGGTCTAATGGCTCTTTGTACGTAGCTGTTATTTCATCATGAAAAAAACCAAACCAGTTGTTACCAGGTTGCTTTTGACTCATGGATGTATTTCCCATTTGTTGTTGTTGTCAAGTGCCATCAAGTCAATTCTGATCCATAACGACACTATATAGGGTTTCCAAGGAGCGGCTGATGAGCTTGAACCGCCGACCTTGCGTTTCAAACTGACTTTGCAGTCCAGCACATTAACCCACAGCCCCCATCAGGACTCCATATTTCCCACAGGTCACTTAATTTGGCTCCCTACTATGTTTTGATTGCCTGCTTTTCTGGACATCATAGTTCACGTTGAATTTTCCTCCTCTGAAAGTTGGAAACAGTTTTGTACCAACATATTTAGTATTTGATTGTCTATTATTGTTTTGATCTCTTTGTTGCATCTTCATTTTATCTCCTTAATTACATTGCAAGCTTGTTTTGTGGTGGTGGTAGTGTGCCGTGCAGTCAGTTCCAATTCATAGCGACTCTATATAGGCTTTCCAAGGTTGTAAATCTTTACAGGAGCAGAAAGCCTCATCTTTCTCCTGCAGAACGGCTGGTAGTTTCAAACTGCTGACCTTGAGGTTAGCAGCCCAACGCGTAACCACTATGCTACCAGAGCTCCTTAGGGCACAGTTATTCTCACTTGTTTATTTTGTTTCCCTCACATTCTCCAGCATTGAACTAGACACACAATAAAAACCAAACCTATTGCCTTGGAGTCAGTTCTGACTCAACCCCTTGTATGCTCCTTTTGGCAACTCAGCTGGCAGAGCCTACAACTGTACACATATAATAGGTACTTATTAATAATTAGTGACTTATTCTAGACTAGCACTGTGGAAGGATCAGGCAAAACACTGCACCCATGACAATTTGAATCCAAACTCTTGGAATACAACCTAGAAGTTCTTAAACTCAGCATTTTGTAGACTAATTTTCCCTGAATTCCCAGTGCAGGTTTTCTGTTACCAATTGATTGCAGAAGCACATATAATGCAATGATAATTTGAGCCCAGGGGCTAATTAAGGCTATTTCATAAAGGGAGTATGCTTTAAAGGGTGTAGCTTCTTTTATTTAAAGTTAATCACCTTTAATCCATTTACATTGAGGTAACCACAGTACCTTTACTTGGCTCCACAATAAACACCCATGGAAGCATCAGTCAAGAAAAATCAAATGAGATATTGCACTGGGCAAATCTACTGCAAAAGACCCCTTTAGAGCGTTGAAAAGCAAAGATGTCATTTTGAAGGCTAACTTGCACCTGGCCCAAGACATTGTATTTTCAACAGCTTCATATGCTTGTGAAACCTGGACAATGAGTAAGAAAGATTGAAGGAGGAGAATTGATGTCTTTACATATGGTGTTGGCCAAAAATATTAAGTGTACCATGAGTTGTCATAAAATGAACAAATCTGTCTTGAAAGAAGTATAGCCGAAATACTCCTTAGAAAAAATGATGGCAAGACTCTCCCTGTCAAGTACATTGAATGTACAATCAGGTGGGCCTAGTCTCTGGAGACTAGTGCTTGGTTAGTAGAGGGTCAGCAAAAAAAAGGAAGACCCTCTAGAGATTAATTGACTCAGTGATATCAACAATGGCCTAAAACTCAGGAGCAATTGTGAGGCTGGTGTAGTGCCGGCAGTGTTTTCTTCTATTGTAAAGAGGATGTTATGGGTCAGAAACAACCCAATGGTACCTAACAACAATAAGCAATAGTATCAGTGTGGATTGAACTTTGTAAATATCAGGTCAACTAACTAACCCCTTGTTTTCAGTCTTACTACACACGAATTTGCAAAATGCAATTTATTTATTTATATTTGTTGTTGTTAAGTGCTGTCGATTCCGACCCATAGCGACCCTGTGTACGAGAGCTTCTGTTAATAAATGATTGATGGGATAATAAAAAAAAGGTCAGTTTAGTTTTGTTGTTTGTTGATTTGTCAGTCGGTCTCTTTTTCTCCCTCTATAAGGAGCTCTGGTAGCGTAGTGGTTATGAATTGGGTTGCGAACCGCAAGGTCAGCAGTTCAAAACTACCAGCTGCTCCGCGGGAGAAAGATGAGGCGTACTGCTCCCGTAAAGATTAACAGCCTCGGAAACCCTGTGCAGGGTCGCTATGAGTCGGAACCAACTCCACGGCACATAACAACAACAATCTGACATTGATCTATAGTTTTCTTTGTGCTACTGCCTCTCTGTGACTCTTTGCCCATGTGCCTTTAGGATAATGTACAAGAGTCAGACTTGACCAATCAGAGTTTTCTATTATCCTGGCCAACTGATTTGTGCGGGGAGGCACAAGTGACTAAATACAAGCTACAGGGATTGTGTTTTGTATAAACTATTGGAAAGAAGACATAGTTTAAAAAATGATCAGTTCTGATGTGGCGCCATAAGATAAGCACTGGACTGTAAGCTGTAAGGTCAGTGGTTCACACCCACCAGTCACTCCTTGGAAATGCTATGTTGTTATTGTTAAATGTTTTAGAGTTGGTTCCAACCCATAGCACCCTGTATTAGGGTTTCCAAGGAGTGGCTGGTGAGTTTGAACCACTGACCTTGCATTTCAAATTAACCATGTGGTCCAATGCTTATCCCTACAGTGCCACACTAGGATGCCTGGAAATCCTATACAGGGACAGTATGAGTTGGAAGCCGCTGGACACTTACCAACAAAAAAAACATTGGAATGTAATCTTGGAGTTGGTCTCAATCTTTGTTTTCACACTAGGTAAACTGAATAACAGTGACACCAACACAAAGAAAAGCAGAGCTGAAAGACAGAGACTGTTTTTTAAATATTTGTTTTACTGTGAATTGGGTGAAGATTTACGGAGCAAATCAGTTTTAATTTGAAACCCCACAATGCAACACTTCTTATCCCACTCCTTCCCTCTATTTCCCATTTCCATTCCTCCTTCTTTCTTAACCTTTCCTACCTTCGGAATTTTGTCCTTGGGCAAATGATGCCCTTTTCTTTGTAAGTGGTTGATTATTCTCAGGACTGCACACTTTCCTCAAGTTGATGTTCACCTTATAGACTGAGACAGACAAACTCTTAATGTCATGAATTGAACACCTGGATTTGGCTATGCCTGAATATAGGCAATTCCTGGGCTTTCCAATTACATGAGCTACTAATTCCCTTGTCCTCAGACCTCAATAGTTCTCTGCTTAATTTTACTTAAACCAGATTGCAGAGTCCTGTTGTGGTGCTGTAGGATAAGCACTTGACCACAAGGCCAGTTTGAACCACAAGATCGATGGTTCAAACTCACCAGACACTACTCGGAAATCCTATACAGGGTCACTATGAGTCTGAACCAATTTGATGGCATTTAACAAGAGCAAGTCACATTGAGTTAAGTGTGTGTGCACTAGTAGAGTTTTAAAATATAAAATGTATACCGAGATTACATAGATCTACTTTTTATGCCAAAGTTAATTGATATTCTGTGTAAAAAGCCTTCAGAAATAATTGTTGGTAATTATCACTCGAGTTACTTCTAATTTTCAATAACCCTTTCACCTAGGAAAAAGACTGCAAGTTCCAGAGTTTGAAGGGGCTTTCCGCTGCAGACCATTGAACTCAGTGGGACCCAAAATACTGTCATTTCTAGCCAAGAATTTCCTTTTCCTTGTTCATGCATTTCTACTGTCCCATATGCTTCAATATAACATGCCTTCTTTTTACATTTTAGCTCTG